ATGCTTGAATTTTGAGGGGTAGGTATAGATTGCTGTTTACCTGATGCGAAACATAATCGTGTTATAGTTGCAGAGACACGAACGCTAAACGTTTTTTCAGGCGAAACTAAATAGATGTATTTTGTAACACTACACTTTTTCTTAATCGGTATTTCATACCGCCATTTTTTTTTCATTAACCGCTGTTTACTGATCGTACTTTGTTGTTTTAGTTATGCTAGTTATTACTCTGACTGTTGGTATAAAATCTAACCCAATCCAATACAATGCATTACATATAGAGAAAATATTTCCCAGACTTTAAGCTGTGGGTGCGTTATTAGCGTGGCTAATGAGTGGTAGAAGAGTGCTGTTGTTGACTGGCTTCCTTCCATCTGGTAAGTAGTTCAAAATTAGGGACGGCGGAAGATAGTCTTAAATGCTTTTCTATTAATACAAAAATACAAATATGCCATTATATATAATTATTATTGATATAACAGTGTTCGGTTATACTCAAACCTCACAGCAGAATAAATGTATGAGACAAACTTCAGTGCAGCAGGAATGGAAAAAAATCTTTAAAGAACTACTTTTATTTTATTTCAAATTCTGAGCACGTTACTAGACTTGTTTCCCCGAAAGGGTGCCAAAATCTGCCTGGAGGTGTTATCTGTTTTAATCACTCGCACTACTGTACAGTACTGTGTTGTTTGTCAGTCATTCAGTAGACACTAAAGTGACGTCACATAAGGGACACTTAACGTTGCAGCTTGTTCTTTCGTGACGTCAGTAAAACGTGCGCCTACCATGAATCATGAGAATATTTATACACTCTGTAGGCTACAACACATCATGACATGTGAACTTCAAAAGCAGGAAATAAAAATATTTGTTACTCTTAATTTTGGTTTTATTTACTCTTGAAACAGAACACTTTCGGGGAACCATGAGGAAGTACATCAACTATAATGATAGTTCTTAGGTTAGCGTATGTGATAACAACTCAAGTCCACACATATAGACGTGTGAGAACCACGAATGATGGCTTTTATAGACATGTAATTGAACAATGGAAGAATACACAAGGCAGCATCTATTTCCTCGTTGCTAATCAACAACCCCATGAGTTACGACACAGTAGTTGTCGTAAAATTAATCATTGAATCATATTGGTCAGACACAAGCATTAACGTCACTTGTTTATTTCTGTTACAGTGGCCTTTATCACAACCCTCCTTCAATCACTGCACTCTCGACACAGTAGGCTTCGAGCACGTACAATAAATCATCAAGAGTAATAATGGTAGCATGTTATACTTATGTTTGTTGATATAATTCCAGTAATAATGGTAGCATGCTATGCTTATGTTTGTTGATATAATTCCAGATTTACTTCACTGATTAAAAAAAATAAACACACACATTAAAACAGTGCAATATTTTTCTAAACATCTCTCAGAATGTAAGTATGACCATCATACTTTGAAGTAAGATTCCACCGATGACCAGTGTAAAATAAATGTATAGTCATCCATGTAAAGATTCGAAAGCTCGAGCGCTTTCAAAGTGTTGACTCTTCTCCATCAGACGATTTGTCAGATTGTAAGTTACATGTTACATTTCGTTTGTTCTTTCGTTACATGGTTTGGTATAAACAAATGACCGAGTAATCGCATTTCATAAACATTTTTTTATCTGGGATTTGCTTCGAAACTAAAAAGCATCTGCCAGATATGAAAGAGCTTGGTTAGTTCAGTGTACTTAATAGACTTAATTTTGTCTATGTCCTTGTCGCATTTTTTTATTTGTCTAACGACATTTTGAACGTGGTGATACAGAATAAAAATGATTTTAAGAACTCAAAATTTAAAATTAAGTCCATGAAGAATTTGAAAAGAATCTCTACACAACAAATTGGAGAAGCTACAATACGTTCTTCACGTTCATTGAAAAATATCAAAGAATTGAATAAAATCCTTACAATTAGTATAAACGGGTTGCATAGGCCTTATGTTTTGCAACATAAGTATTTGCTAAAATAATTTATAAAAATGATTCGTCAATAATGAAAGTTGGTAAAAGTAGCTTCAAGTTTTGTAGTAAAACTTGTACTATGTTTTAAATAGCGTATCTTGAACACGAACATTTTTTTCAAATGATAAGAAAAAGCACCCATAGAGAATCATAACGAAATTAGGGTAAATAAAAAAACTTGATTTTAGGTTTTATTCGTATACTAGCCGTGACCCGCAAAACATTTGCAGTAGTTTTCATGTTTTTCGCTTGAATTGTCCTTATTCTACCATTTTCACGCATGCCATTTAAACTACGCTTATATATAAGAGTGGGAATTAGGTAGGTGTGGAGATTAGGAATGAGGTTGGTGTGTAGATTAGGAATTAGGTAGATGTGGAGACTAGGAATGAGGTTGGTGTGTAGATTAGGAATTAGGTAGATGTGGAGACTATGAATGAGGTTGGTGTGTAGATTAGGAATTAGGTAGGTGTGGAGATTAGGAATGAGGTTGGTGTGTAGAATAGGAATTAGGTAAATGTGGAGACTACGAATGAGGTTGGTGTGTAGATTAGGAATTAGGTAGATGTGGAGACTAGGAATGAGGTTGGTGTGGAGATTAGCTTTCAAGCAGCTCTGAAAAAGTCTTCAGGTAGGCCTGAAGAGTAGAATTAAGTACATGTGACGACTAGGAATTATGTCTATAAGTATGTTTGTTTGTTTGAAGTTAAACACAAGGCTACACAATGGGCTATCTGTAAGGTTTATAGCGTTGTAAGTATGCAGACATACCGCTGTGCCACTGGGGGGGGGCTTATAAGTATGAAATGTATAAATTATATAGAACTTAGATAAATACGCTTGCATTGAAAGTAATCTAGACATACTGTATGGAGTATGGTGGACTTTGATATCGAAATTCATCATTCCTTTAAATATATTTATCGACATTTCCTTTCAAAAATTCATCATTATATTTTTTGTATAAGGAATACGTGAAAGAAAACACTAATTGCTTATGTATTTCTGTTGTGAGTCTGTGGAATTATTCTAGGCAGATCCACTCTCTTAGTGATTATGTTTCAGACTAGCAAGTTGAACCTTTACACCTATGACCAAGAAATCGGTTTTTCGAAGTTAACCTTCCATTTATCCCGTTTTATGTTGTTGCTTCTCCCTCTTTGTTCATTTTAGTGGGTTCTAGTAAAGCGTTTCACAGTTATCTGTGTTGTAAGATTACTTTGTATTTTCTATTGGATCAAATGTGAGCTAATGGGACTTATTCCAAATACAAGTTTTTTTATGTATATAACGTATTTTTGTTTATGACGTACAATTAGTAACTCGTCTAATACTTCTAATTATAAGTTATCTGATTAAGGAGCTGACAGTACAACACTAATTAGTCGAATGATGCTGATGTTTTTTGTACTTACGTTACGATGTCTCATAGCAACAATAATAACAGTAGCTTGATTAGCCATAATGCTCATTATACTTTTTTTTTTTGTCTGCTTAGCAACAATAATCCTATTTGTTGAATTGACAAGAAAAAGAATACAGCCGTTACTTTAACCCCTTAACAACGATAAGTTACTGGAACTTGATAATCCGTAATTTTCAAACTTTTACGTGCTCTTAGCAACAACGGTATCCTCTGCTTATTTAGCCCGCGTAATTTATTCAGTAAGATTAAAACTCACAGATACACACAAAAAAATTACTTATTCCTCAGTCTTTTTTTTTTTAATTTTATTTAAAGCTACACAATGGGCCATCTGCACTGTTTCCACCGCTGGGAATCGTATCCCAAATTTTAGTTTTATAAGCTATCAAGCTTACCATTGAGCTACTGGTGGCATCCTGGAGCATCCAATTAGTAGAAATTGGTAATTAAATAGCAACGAACCCCACTAATCGATTAGTGTTCAATTATTTTCATGCAAAGACACATCTTGTTTAACCTAACAAAACACGAGATCACCTATGTACTTTAATTAAAGGGAATGATCCTCTCAAGCAAATAATCAAATATATTTCAAGTTAGTTATCTAACCAGTATAAAAATCAGCGTGTATGTCATGTCACGCTTGATTTCTCGAAAAAGGAGGAGTCATAAAAGCCAAAATGCATTTATCGAGATAGAATAGTTCGACTACTGTCTGTCCTTTACGATTTTAGTAACGGAGGTGCAAGAGAGCCGTGAAAGTGGAGGGTGCCGTGAAACCTTATGAGTGTAGTGAGTGTTGGTATAATAAGCCTAAATTAAAGCATAGTGTGGGATCATCTAGCCTAGAGCCAGGTGCATAAAATTTATCATGAAAGTAAAAATATCGATTTCATTTTAAATTTAAATCATTTCTGAATTAAGCTCTTTTTGTTATATCACCAACGTTTTTAATAAAAAACAAACCATTCTAATCAATAGAGACTCTAAATTAAGAAATTAACAAATATTAATATTAACTTTTAATACTCTCAAATTAAAAAAATATACACATTGCTTAGGCAAATGACGTAGCTCATTTTCAAACTGTCAACGTCTGGTTGTGTGTTTAATCCCTCTTCACTTGGGAATGGTATAATTACATCGAGCTCATATTGCAGTCAACTCTTAATTCTTACTCCTCTTTGTCCAATACAAGGTGTAAAAAATGCTTACTCATGCTAATATATAACAACAAGCTTTTCAAATATTATTCACTTATAATACATTCCTTTTTAAAACACTTAAATACATATAACATAAAATCAACCAACCTTCTTTCAAAACATTAAACTCGTGAAGATAATTAATTTCAGAAATTCGTTGATACCGGTATGCATTCATCAAAAAGATATTACATTTGGAAAACAAATCAACAAAACATTGAACCTTACAAGAACCCAATATTCCCCTTCCTTAAATTTGTAGTTGCATCATATTATGTGTCAATCTCTAAGTCTGTATACGTAGCTTATAGTGACTCCAGCTTTTATTACTGACAAAAAAAAAACTTACTTACTTCTCCATCTGAAAATGTAATTAGAAACAAAGCGGCCAAGAGATATGAATGTCACATGAGCCCATCTTTCATTTTCTCCACATTTGTGCATGCATCTTATAGTGCCATCACCTCTAATCAATCACTAAGAAAACTAACCTTCCATACTGTTGTTTTCTTAATGCAAAGCCACATATTAGGCTAACTGCACTCTGTCAGCCGCAGAAAATCGAAACCAGATTTGAGCGGTGTAAGTCCGTAAACTTACCGCTGACATACCTGGGGACCTTACCTACTGAGAAGTTGATTATAAAGTAAATCGACAGATATTCGAAAGTCACAAGAGCATAGTTTATTATCTCGATATTTGTATGTAAGTATAATAGTGGCGCCACCTCTACGTAACGTTTAAAGATATTAATCATCCATAGTAAAAAAGCTAATTTGAAAACAATTTTACAGGAAATTAGCTTTTATTTCTCCTACATTTGTGTATGCAGATTACTGTGTAAAAATATTATTTTTTTACCAATGTGTTTTTTTAGACGTTTAGTGGCCGTCACTTCATTTCTTTTTTTTTCTAAATTCATAAACGCCACTTGTTCTAGAAATTGTTAATATAATTCATAATATAATAACACAGTAAAATGAATTTTTTCTATGTAAGTGTGTGTTGTGCGAATTGTTATCTTATCGTAAGTACACGATGCAACATGAATAATAAGGGCGCGGTTATATAAAATGTGACATAGTAAACAGTTTTGTCCACCGAGTGGTCTCTAACCCCGGATTTTATTGTTGTAAGTCCATAGACGTACTGTTGACTTACATAAATGAAATATATCTCTCAACTATTACTTTTGAAGGAGGGGGAGGCATTCCGTACCGGCTTCTTTGGTTTTACTTTGTTAACAAATTGTCATTTGGCAGTGCATTTCTATGTCTGTAATGTAACGATAAACATATTCATTATCTCCGACTTCTTCACTCCTTTATCCTTGTAAGAACAGTGAAGCAACTGCCTATCCTTCTATCTATCTATCCATCCGCCTGTCTTTCTATATATCTAACTGCCTACCTTTCTATCTATCTTTCCATCGGCCTGCATTTCTATCTATCTCTCTGCCTATCTTTCTATCTGTCTTTCCATCTGCCTGTATTTCTATCTTTCTCTCTGCCTATCTTTCTATCTGTCTTTCCATCTGCCTGCATTTCTATCTATCTCTCTGCCTATCTTTCTATCTGTCTTTCCATCTGCCTGCATTTCTATCTATCTCTCTGCCTATCTTTCTATCTGTCTTTCAATCTGCCTGCATTTCTATTTATCTCTCTGCCTATCTTTCTATCTGTCTTCCATCTGCCTGCATTTCTATCTATCTATCTTCCTGTCTTTTTTTCTACCTATATTTCTGTTTTCTTTCTATCTATTTGTTTATCTGTTTATCTATACATCAGTATTTATCTAAATATATCGACATATGTTAATAAGATTTCCCATTACCTTTATTCACGCTTACTACAGTAATCAAATAAACTATGGTCAGCGATAATTTAATCGTAGCAGTTTATTACTATTATTTCTAGCAATAATTGCAATAAAGGTAAGTTCTTCAAGCCTTAACAATAAAGTTTATTGAACTATTCTAATCATTAACGTTTAATACGTTTCTGATTTTCGAAACCATATTGATTATTGTTACCATGACAACAGTTCTCGTCTTCCAGTAATTTTGCTTTTGTATTGGCAAGTTACAGAAGTTTTATTATGTACAAGTGACTTAAATTCCGCCAGCAGGATAATGAAAAATTTCCCAAAGTGCCTTAACGATGTGAAAATCCATGAAAATAAATTTATATCTACCTTAGGTTTGATATGTGAAGTGACGTAGTTTCGAACTCGCATAGTTTCCATGACAACTTAAATATACGATTAAATTTTTCAATAAAAAGGTGATCTGAATGTTGGCTTAATTATTATTCCGTATAGAGTGCAAATATATATATATATATACAATGACTTTGTCCAAAGTGGTTTATGTTGATAGATAGAACGTACTTATAATTTTCTTAGGTTTCTGAAATGTAAGATATTTTTTTTTTATTGAAAAGTAGTTGTCCTAATAAACTCAGTGTTTAAACGTTAGTTGCATGAAGAATGAAGAACATTTTGACAGATATATAAGGTTTTAGTTTGTTTGTTTCAGAATTTGCGCAAAACTACGCGAGGATTATCTTTATATAGCCGTCCCTAAGTTTGAACTGACTGGAGGGAAGGCAGCTAGACAGCAGCAATTACCTCCAACTTTTGAGCTTCTCTTATCTGATCGATCGTATATTTGGTCATCACTTTTATAGAACACCCACAGCTCCAAAGTAGGAAACGCGTTTTTGCGGCAGCGTTTGACGAGCAAGGTAAAACAAGTTTACCTATGTACAAAAACATTATTTTGATCGAATTCGTTATTTTCGATATTGACTCAGGTGAATGCTTGTGATCTCTAATAAGCTCTTTCTCAAACGATATATTTCAGTAAGGTCCTAAAATAACGAAAGATCAGATTTGTACAGAGGTACAAAAAGTATAATGACAACTTGCTTATGACATTTTTATTTTTGTTATGTCAAAAATTTCCGAGATGGCGACCATTTAAAATGTGCGAAACAAAGTATATCTATATATAAATCAGAAACAATATAATACATCGAACCTTTCCCATTGTGAATATACTTAGTCTGATTCATGCCACACCATTTTTATATAAGAAAGTTACACCTTCGAAGATTTGGAGGCTAAATTATCAGTTGAAACACAGAATTAAAACTTGCAACAAAGCTAACGTCACAATATGCACTATATATATATGCTCCATGATAATTATTTCTCAAATAGTTACAGAAAAAGTTGCATACTCACAAAAAATATGAATAATATGTATATTAGCTGCCATGTTGACAGATGGGTGTATTATTTATGTCATCATTTTTTATTTTCTGGGTCGCATAACAGAATGAACAATAAATAAATAAAAACGAGTGTTGACTGCATGGGTCTTATATGAAACTCCTTTGAAACAATCTTAAGCCTTATGTAGTCTGCCCAGTACTTGAATAAATTTACTGTATTCTCTACCTCTTGTTCATTAGTCTTGTCAACAAAATCTCAATCCGGATCAATTGTCTTAGGTAACTGTTGCTGGGTGATGATGGAAGAAACAGGGTTGTGTACTGGTAATGGTAAAAACTTGGGTACCATAAAACAGCTGAAACATTTGCACAACATCCCATTGTCCTTGCCTCTGAGCAACAATGGCAATAGGCAAATATTAGGTAATAAACTGATGTTGTATCAAAGATGATCTATAGGAGGTAGACCTTCGATGCCATATACCCGATTAGAGTTTAGCCTGTAGTTGATTAGTTTCTTTCTTCTAGTGGAAAAGGACGTAGTTACCAGACATGTTTGTTATTTTAAAACTTCGTTTGTTTGAACTGATAAATGGCAATGACTTAATCGCGAAGTTAGTTCTCGGAAAATATGGGGAAGTTGGTCAGTGATACAGAAGTGGTATATGTCTATACAAAACGTTGTGAACCTAGCTTTTCTTGCTCAGCTCTGTGTTGTCACTCATTTAATTGGGATGTAAATGAGAGCATTTTATTTCCCAGCCTTTATCCCTTTTTTATGTGGATTGCTTGGTGTTTACCGATTTCACAATGCGCAAACAATCCTTATATGTTCTCCGAGATAAATGGTGATTTTCGAGTTATGACTTTCCAATTTTTAATCCTCCCGTTCATAAACTCAATACCTCTTTTGTTCTTAGTCACTATTCTGGAATGATTTGTTCCCTTGTTGTGATTATATTTAGTTTTGCTCCATGCTTTGTCATTTCCATATATCGAACCTCTCCCAGTGTGAATATACTTAGTCTGCTCAATGCCTTACCATTTCCATATAATAAAGTTACATCTTTGAAGTTTCGGGAAGTCAAATTATCAAGTGAAATACAGAATTAAAACTTGCAACAAAACTAACGTCACCATATACACCATAATCCTTGCAGGCATCAATCCATACTCCAAAAACGAGGCTATATCATTTCCCCTATATCTGATGTATTAAAATACAACTCAGGAAGATATTACCGCCAACAATATGTGTGCAACATGACAGTTCACTGTTGTTTAGGACAGACAACATGCTCAAGATTATACACAGTGGTTAAAACCATATTTCTATTTATTTTGTTACTTTATAATTTAGGGAGCATTTTAGGTTCTTAATGATATTGTTCTATATCCAACACACACGTGCAAACGTATCCAAAAAGATCACATACAATGACATAAGTATATGTAAAAATGCAATTGTGAAAACGTACAAAAACCCAGGTATAAAACACAAACTCGCGTACACACACATATATAAACATATGGAGGGTCATAGTGAACATACAAATAGATGTATTAAGCATATAAATTTCGTTGTAATTTATGTAATTTTTAATAACAATTTTTGTGTCGTAAGTGCATTGATAATACTGGTAGACACTTTGAACATTTGTAAAGTCAGACTGATTGAGTGGTCATGCAAATACGACTTAATCACGAAGGAAGAGAATATGTGTTGTACTAACCATAATTTCGAATACGTTTGCTCACTATCTATAAGAAGAAGAAACTCTAATAGATTTGAACATATTTGAAACGACTTCTCTCTTTACGTTAACTGAAATTTCTGAAATGCTTAAAGAACTAAGATTTAATAAAACTTTGCAAATTTACGATGTATAATTAAGTTTTACACTCCTGAAAGACAAAAAGAAAAAAAACTGCAAATTTCCAAAATAAGAACAAAAGATAGATACACTATGATTCAAATAAGTATTCATGATGTCAGAAAAACACGTAGGTCCAATAAGTTGCCCCTGAAGAAGAAAGGTCCACATTTCGAAAGCGCTCAGTTTATAGGGTTTTTATCATTTTGTACTAAGATAAGTATGATATTGGACAAAGTAACATTCTAATTGAAAATACCTAAAGGTATAAATTTAACTATTGACATAAGTAGTCTATGGAAAAGTAATTCTTGTATATATATAAATTAGTATTGCCTAGGTGTCGTTTTACGGATATAATTAACGTCACTAGAATGTAATTATTTATCTATCTTATCCTACTATTTTTAACTATATTATTAATATTCCAATCCTTATGAAGTCAGAAGTAACGAGCAGAAGATTGGTGTGACTAAGAAAATTAACAAACCTTACACTTAAGTATGCAGA